GCGATATCTCAAATATCGTGCCAACTGAACCGTGAGGCGGCCTGTGTGCAGAACATTCAGTTGTAGAATATCATAAACGAGAGATTCAGTTGAGTCTCTCGTGAAAACCAGATTGATTTGTAAATGAGTGTATTTCTCGAAAATAGTCCAATTTGGGTTCAAGTAGAACATACGGTTGACGGAAACTCGGGGACTGTGCCTACCTGATGAAACCCAAGAAGGGCGAAACCGGTCTTGGGCTGTCGAAGAGTTTTCAGCAACCTTGTGAGTAGTTTCCCTTTATGAAATTCCTTCACTTTTGCTGACAGATACGACGCACTGCCAGCGGTAACTTTCGTAGAGATCAGCCATTGAAGTGCTCCATGCCGGGCGCACCATTTGCGAAAATAGCAGAAATCCTGGTAAACTACGCCTGAACAATTCCGTGACATGTAGCACACCATCTGTTGTAATCCTTAGGTGGGGTGGCAGTGATTGAATGTTTGACCTGAGGCAAATGTCAGGTTTCTGTACCCAAGTTCACAAGAAAAAATGACCGGCGTGATGCCGTACGCAGCGCGGTTGCTGGATACGATGTAGCAGCCTAGTCACAGGAACACACTAGCGAACTGATAAAGATAGCCGCATCCACCGTTGTTCACCAGAATCTGCCCAGTTTATTACTGCCTTTCACGCAAGCTACTGCCTAAAATGCGGCACCCATGCAGCCGTCTAACGAGCTAACCGAATTCGACCGGCCGCGCCACTGTCGCGGTAATAGGTGCAGCTAAAATGGATATGTATCATCGCACTCAACTGTCAGAACGTTGTGGGAAGTGAGTGTCGGAATCTCACATCGTGGCGGTTGTCACCAGATCCATGGGAGCCGATCAGACGGCTTCTAATCAACCCCATTTGTATTTTATCAGGAATATTATCTCATGAAATTTCATAATGATCGCTGTTTGTGAGCGTGATACTGGACCAAGTCACGATTCAAAGGTAGGCTGTTCCAAGTAGGAACATGGGAATCACTCGTTCGGTGAGATCTCATCCACACAAAATCAACGCAGGAATCTTCAATACCGACAGCATATCAGTGTTCAACAGGGATGCCCCGTGACCGTACAGCCACAATTTATCAGAAAGCTTCACTAAGAAAAGTGGATGGGAAAAGGGACTCGGTACTAGCTTAGGCCATGTCTCAGCCCTACAACAAAAATCCGTATTGTAGCCTGATACACATGCTCCTTGACATTCAGGAATGTGCCGGCTTACCGCCAGAGATATCTAAAATTAGCAGCCCTAGAGATTCGTGCATTGACCTCATCTGTCACACTACATTCGGAACTAATACAACTTCCAACATACATGGAACGCCCCACAATTTCGAGTGCCTCTCCTTAATTGATGTGTTCGATGACTACCTATCCAAGAGCATAACCTTATACTGTGTAGGTGCAGAGCGATGACTTTGGTCAGTTCATCCGAAAAATACCTGTGCCATTGTAGGAATAGTGGTTGTAGGCGGGCGCTAGACCTAGATGGCGGGATGATTATGGTCCTTGATTAAAAGCCTGTCTGAAAGGCAGCGGTATTTGGCGGGAACTGCCAGGGTACTACTCTCTAAAGCAAGGTGCAACGTGTTCCGACCTCCAACCCGGAAACTGTCCGTCACACCTCTAACCATTGAGACACCTGGTGTGTGTCGGACGTACACTCCCCACCATAGCCCAATGAGCCATGGAGATGTATAAATCGCGATTTCCCGTCTCTACGTGATGGGAACACGGTCCACCGCTCTTTAGGATCCATCAAACGAGTTGTTTAACCAAGCCAGTTTTTCAGGAAAGTTGGCTGACGTAGCAGTCTAACCCAAGTTGTTGGCTATCATTTGAGGTGTCTGCAACTCCATAGTACTAAAGTGTAACCCCGACTACTGATTATCCATCATTTAGTTTGGTCTCACCCAGGTCGTCAGCATGCTCTTATGGACATTAAAGTTCAACTGGAGCTAACTCGGTATATGCCGAGAAACTGGTTCGATCTCGTTGGGAAAAGCAGCGACGGAATCTGTTGACACGATTTCAGAACACTCCAAGCCGCGAATGGTTGTCCACCGAACTTCAAAGCCTCGACCATCAATAGCTCTTCGTTTCACGCTGATGGAACGCTAAGCTGCAGCAGACGAAATAGGGTAGTCAATAGAATCGCGGGGCTACCTCCGCACTGTGACACATTCGACCGACAAGAGTCAGCTAGCCCTATTCGATGTGGGACATGACGCTGAAGCCGGTGACTAACATCTCTTCTGCTATGAACAGCTGTGCCCAAATGCTCCACCTATTTGATGCATGTATATCATTCGGTATACCGCTCAGTCGTACCTTATACAGCCGGCCTCTATCGGTAAAACAGCCATATTTAAGTGAGGTCAGTGAGGAAAACCCAGTGTGTTTCAAACAACAAGAGGACAAAATCCAATGACTGTAGGACTGCACGACTTGTATTTGGCATCTGAAAAGTGTTTGTTGAGAGAAAAGGGGCCGAATGATGCTAGACCAAGTGGGGAAAGGGGTTAGCTACACCGCCATATAAGAGTAGCACATCATTGTGCACCGGTGATTTGCTTTCGTCGCTCCTCTGGTAGAGTTAGACCGACTTTTTCAAACCTTGCTTCCAGTTCCGGGCGGAAATGACGTATGAGACCCTGAAAAATGGTGGAAGAACGAATAAAGTTCGGTAGGTTGTGGATTCAGCACACAAAACCAAAAAATAGGAGGCATTATTTCTTAAGAGGAGGGTCAAGACCAAAAAGCGTCGGGAGTAATTTATTCCATTCTTGTGAGTGTACGCTAGACCGCCAGGCGAGAAGCCACCAACTTCCAGTGGAAAGGGGGAAAAAAGTAAACTTTGTCACATACCGGTGTTAGGCGGAACTCCACACGGATCCCTCTTTACCGCTCGCACTCAGGTGCTGCTACGGCCGAGAAGTCCATCCCACGCAAGACTGGCCAAGAATTCCGGACGCTTGCCGGTCCAGCATCAAGGCGAGCTCTGATTGGTCAAAAGTCTGGACCCAACGGCCAATCATGACTCAGTATTGGCCGAATGCCGGTTGCCAATGGCGCATCCAGAACGCGTCAGAATTTCCAGAAAGTAATTGCCGCCTAAGCTATATATATGAAGCGCTGTACAAGTGTTCCTGACTTCGTTATGGGCGTTGGTATACCTTGTGCACCTTTGTTTTAACGTGAACACTAGCTTGGGAGGCTCAGACTGAGAACTAAGCTGAGAGAAATACCGTTACTACAACCGGAGAAAGAGCAGGTCCCAAAAGTCACTCACACTATCTCCAGGAGTCTAACAATGCCGCAGAAGTGCAAAATTGGTCTACTATCTGAGTCACAGAACGCTCATGCGGACTTCAGACCACATTACCAATCAGTTGGCATTGAACGTTTGTCTGTATCCGACTGTCTGTCATCCCTTACAGTCAACGTTTCAGCTGGTGTGTGTTCACCGTATTTGTCCCGACAATACAGAGGCTTATAGATTGAAACTACCTGGTTGAGCTGCTCAACCGGTTGAGCTCAAACCGCGTGCGGAGTGCGCGGGGACAAATGACGGAAGTACCTGCGATGAGTGGAAGACCAACGAATTGTCTTTGAGCTTCGTACTGAGCATTGGTAATCTATAAAAAAGTGAAACTTTTGTCTGACCGTTTTACTCTGAAGTACTATCACTTTTGAACGTCAGTCATGCATACAATATCTTTTGTTGAGGGTCCCTCTTTCTCAGAAGGTCTGATAACCTGAAACGATTAAGAAAGCAGGACGGACAGACAATGAGCGTTTGAAACCTACAAGGACATTCATGCCTTGGTTATATGGACTCCCGAAAGTGGATAAGCAGGGCAGCCTTACCTGAAAATGACGAACCCTTGCACTGCATCCCAGTAGCCCATTGGTTGACTACGCTATTCGAACATGCATGCAAACAACCCTACGCACTTAATTTACGGATTCAATCCGGGAAATTCACAAATGTGCTCCCCTGGGGAGAACATAACTTAGTCATGTGATTCCATCTGCGGTGCTGAAATTGGCTTCAATATTCCAAACATATTTCTCAGGAAAAATACAACTGTTGAACAAATTCAACGTGCATTTTACGTTCGATAACGAAATTTATAGACATCAAGATGGAGATCTGCCAGGAGACCTCTGTTGGTCGAAATTAGCTTCCGAACGCTTCACCACCGTCTGGGGGGACGCGGTTGGTGCCAAAAAGTTGGCAAGCTGCTTTCACCTTCACGACGTGGATCCCAATAGAAAGTGAAACGAACAATTCAAATAATATCTACATGGACGAGCCCTCAGAATTTCGTTGAAATTCTACACAAACTGGACTTAGTTCTCTGTATAGCGAATAGGACCACGTGACATGCTATATTAAAAATTACAGCTGTCGGAAGTTTTAGGAGGGAACACAGAGCCTTTCGGACTTCGTTAGAAAACACATGCATCCGATACCAGTGACGGACAAAAGCTTACCATCACCAAAAAGCCAATGTATACAGGGCTAATTTTGAAGAACGACAGCGGTTCGGAGTGCATTACACATCGGATGAGACAGTCGCTCGGAACTATGAACACCACTGAACTGACGTTCTTGTTTTTCAGTTGGCCAGTGCTCAATACAAATCTCAAAGACAATTCATCTGTCCGTCGTGTAACCAGACGTTCGGCACACAGGACCAAATGTCATCGTCTGAAATTTCTCCGATTCGAGATCCAGAAGTGAGGCAACAACAAAATTCCAAGTCATCGTTAATCGGGTCTCAAACAGTTGACCCAAATAGCTCGGTAGTCGACTTTGAACTCGAGCGAATCAATTGGTATCGGACCACAGAGTCTAATTTCGTATGCACAGAAGCGACTGAGCGGGTCATCGATCGACCAACCAAGAGCAAACACCATTCTCATCACCTGACTGCTATTGAATGCTTCCGGTTGTCTGCACCAATTGGGCGTGCAGTTTCTGTTTGTTCGTTTCTTCAATTTTCGACTGTAAACGTCGATACGGACTTATCGAACACATACACGCTCACCGAACCGCGTAATCTTAGTCTCGTTAACAGCTTTTAGCCGTTCGGGAAGACGCGATGACGGTAACACATAAAACCACATCGATTTCTGGTTCTACAAAAAGTTTCACTGGTTCTAACTACCCTTTACTTAGGGAAATGACCACTATGGTGCTCGGAATATTGGTTTTGGACGGATTCTCGCCCCGAACTCTGAAGAAACACTTAGTTCAATGAAAACTTCAAGGACAAGTTACCTTTCTAGGGGCACCTAGGAGCACCGAGCTGACATTACGGGGGGTTGAGAGATAGTTCAGTTCTTACACCCTTTCGGTGCCTAGCTGTCATGCCACCCGAAGGAAGCACGAGGGCCAGGTGGGAAGTCGGGTTCGAACCACGGACCTTCCGGTCAATAAATTCGCGCTCTAACCACTAACCCATCTTGCCCTCTAGAGACTGTTGAGAGAGGTCGTGATCGTTCAGCACTACGGACGAGTTCGTAGTGGGCCCAGAGGTCCAGATTACAGCTATCCCCGTGCAAATAGAGGTTGGTTTCAGTTGGTCCCCTGAAACGTATTTCAATGGTGATATCCCTCCCCCTGAAGGGAACTGGTCCCCAACTCAGCAAAATATAATAAATTGGTGAGAATCTTTCCAACCACTCATCAATGGGAAACTCTTGCTGAGAGAAACCTTCCGGTAATAAATTCGCGCTCTAACCACTAACCCATCTTGCCCTCTAGAGACTGTTGAGAGAGGTCGTGATCGTTCAGCACTACGGACGAGTTCGTAGTGGGCCCAGAGGTCCAGATTACAGCTATCCCCGTGCAAATAGAGGTTGGTTTCAGTTGGTCCCCTGAAACGTATTTCAATGGTGATATCCCTCCCCCTGAAGGGAACTGGTCCCCAACTCAGCAAAATATAATAAATTGGTGAGAATCTTTCCAACCACTCATCAATGGGAAACTCTTGCTGAGAGAAGGCGGCCATTCTTCAGGTTAAAATTTACCAAACGGTAGGAAAAATTCAAGCCGTCTTTGATGGGTTTCACCATCAGTAGTCGTCACATAAAATGGCTATATTAGTTCTATATTTCTCCGAGCTCGCACACACTAATCCGAACCTATTGACCCGTTTTGTAGCATAGTAGGAACGAATGTAACACGGTGCAGGCACTGTCAACCGATTAATCAAAAGGAGCGGGCAGCATGACCTAGTTTGTCGACTTCATTGGGAAAGTAAATGGTAAGCCAAACAGGTTCAAGGGAATGTGTGGGCAGGTAAATCCGATCCTTTGAGAATCGGTGTAAAGTATAACTATTGTTGTTGTTGCTCATTACCTGCCTGCCTGTTCTTCTCTATCATGAACAAGAACACCTCTGAACAACAGGCAACATAACCAGTTTCAGTGGGTCCGGTTGAGGACTAGACAAGCCTACCCGACCTGATCAGTGGGAGTTCCTACAGTTAATCTGTTCAGATATGGACTCGATTCTGAAGCATATCACGTAAAATAAACTGCACAGTTGGTGGATATGTGGCCTTGTATGCTACACAAGTGCGAGTTATTAATAGTACTTATCAGCTGTTATTAGCTAATTAATATGGTGTTCACCTACCAAATAGTGGTCACGGGGCCTAGCTAGAATGCCGCCCGAAAGAAATACGAGAGATGAGATACTGCCAGGTTGCCCAAGTCTAGACAGAAACAGTCGAGATGCAGAGGTTGGGTTCGAACCACAGACCCTCCGGTCAGTAAATTCGCGCTCGAACCACTGAGCAATCTCGAGCTACCACACACCAATTCAAGCATCATGCTAAAGCTTTTCGACTTTGCGGCCCAGATTGGCTCTCCTTGCAGATAAAAATCGGGATTGGAAACTTCGAAATTAGTTGACGACACAAAAAACGCGTAACTGCAATCTGAAAAGTTACTTCAGGCAACACTTGCAGCAGAACCATATTAAGGCCCGTCAACCTGTTTATGAATTGAATACATAAAAAAAGAGGCCGATTTGAGCAAGAGGTGACGCGCTGAGTACGACCAAGACTGGTCATGCGAGCCCATGTCTTACCTGAACTGGCCACGCCGCCCCGTCAGCCAGAGCACAAATGGTATGTCCTTCCATCTGTTTCGATATTTCCCACAGCATATCGATTTCTCGCTTGTCCGCCTTGCCTTGCACTGGAATTTAAAGTGACAAACAATAACTCAAGGGGTCTAGGAGCACGTGATCCGTAGGTATTGATCGAGGAGAGTGAACTCACCGAAACGCCCCGTGATCTGGCGCAACCACCGACAGCCCTCACGACACGGAGTGCACTGACCACAGCTCTCGTGTTCGTAGAACTGCATGAGTCGATGAATGCAACGAACGACGTCAGCTGACTTGTTCATAACGATAATGGCTGCGGTGCCCAATCCAGATTTGGCCTCGATCAGTGAGTCAAAATCCATCAGGACTGTGGAACAGACGCTAAGAAGAAACAGCGGAAAAGGGTGTGATGATATCGATGACTATCAGAAACAAAGTATGAAGTGACTGTGGTCAGATCCTCAACGCCAGCAGCTTGGCCAGAGAAGCATCTAGGTGCTCTCTGCCTCTCAATATTCAAACAGTTCCGATGGGACTTCATTTACAAGACTCAACAATATGCTTTGGAGCACGTCTCCTATCAGCCAGTCAGCTTATCCGCCGTAAATCATGTGCCAAAGGTACTTTCGTTCCAGCTGCTACTTGAAAACGGAAGAACGTGGGAGATATAGCCAAGAATTGGGGGTAGTGGAAAAATCAGCTGACTTGACAAACCGGGCATTGAAAGCGACAGCTTTGGTGAACAAGTGCCACTGCCTGCGTGATAGAGCCACGTCTACCAATGTCACCAAATATTGATGAGCTGAGTCCCGGAGTACCCATTCAGAAAAGCGGTAGGTGTTGGCCCGACTAAGTTTACTGGTTAGTGTTTTCATACCTCGTTGCCGGACCGTCCGTATGTCGGTCGCTTTCACTCAGCTCAGGGCTGGGTGAAAAGATCTATGCAAACTAGACGGTCCTCTGGAACACAGGTATATGTAACCCCAACCCCACCCCATTCAGAGATAAAACCGGGGGGGGGAGGGGGAGGAGACATTCAGCATCACTCGAGAGGTCACACTAATTCGTGGATAACGGAAGACACTTCGGGAGTTACGTACCCCAAAGTCACTGTATTAAACTGCCACGACTTACGAATTGACTTATCTCAAGTTCGTAAGGCCAGTAATGCAATCGAAAGTAACATTGGTGTTTGAACAGATGCGTTTAAGCGGTTTCCCCTCCAGAGAAGTGACAGTATGAACGTAACTGATATTGGCTGATGACCATTCCTTGAGATCTTTCCAGTCGAGTGCACCAAGGGTCAGAAAAAATCCGACAATATCCATCATACTCTCGTTTCAAGTTGCACTGTGTCTTGTATAAATTCTCTGAACGAAGCGGTGAACTTAAAACATTTCCCAATAGATCGTGTTCGACTTTCGTAACGCGGGACGCCACAGTTCGTGGTTCTGATGGCTGTCCGTAGCCACACGAGAGGTTTGACGGACAACTACACCAAGAAAACCAAAAGGAAAAAAATCTCACTCTTTCGGGATAAGCGGAACGGAACTTCCACCGGGGATCACAGCCAACAAATTGTCCCATCCGCCAATAACTCCACCAGCATGCCGCTCGATGAGATCTTTCAGAGGAATAGACATTTCCTCTTCCACAGTGCATGGATTGTTCACGTGACCTACATGGGGAGAAGAAACATCAAAGCGCCGATGAAACAAGTGAATTGGACAGTCCAGATGACCGAACAATACAAAGTCTACCTACGTAGACCTACAACCACGGCCGTGTGAAAGCCCAGCAGGGATAGCTCCTCTAGTGCCTAGCTGCCAAACAAAGGCTGGGATTCTGCTGGGTGGCCAAAGCCTAGAAAAAACACATGAGATGCCCAGGTTGGGTTCGAACTACGGACCTACCGCTCACTAGTTTCGCGTCTTAACCACTAAGCCACCTCGAGCTCGCAGGGATCTGTTAGTAGGTAAACAGTAAGCGTGACGATGAAATCCACAATCAGCAACAGTAAAGGTGAGTAGAAAAGAGCTGCGAGGGATGGGAATACATGAAAGTGTCTGCACCAAACAAGCGTCACATTAATCATGGTCCACAAGACAATGCAGTAAACATGGCTGAAGTGAGAAATGCACTCACTTGCAAATCAATTTGGTTTTCATGAGATACTCAGCTGAATCTCTCGTTTATGATATTCTACAACTGAATGTGCTGCGATATCTGGAATGTCGTGCCAACTGAAACATGAGGCGGCCTGTGTGCAGCACATTCAGTTGCAGAATATAATAAACGAATGATTCAGTTGAGTCTCTCGTGAAAACCAAATTGATTTGCAAATGAGTGTATTTCTCGAAAACAGTCCAATTTGGGTTCAAGCAGAACATAAGGTTGACGGGAACTCGGGGACTGCGCCTACCTGATGAGCCCCAAGAAGGACGAAACCGGTCGTGAACTGTCGAAGAGTTTTCAGCAACTTTGTGAGTAGTTACCTTTATGGTTGAAGTGAATTGCACGCGGAGGACGCACTTTTGAGCGTAACATAAACTACTACATACCAACAACCAATCAACGCACCCAATCTACCTATATTCCACAACACTGTCAATATCTTCGGGCGTTCTACACTCGAAACAACCGTTACGAGAAAAAGAACTACACAGCCACGAGACTCTGGGTTACATGGGAAATCAAGAAACCTAACGACAACCAGCGAACTAATGGCATCAAAGGAAGAAAACTACGAAAAAAAGACCACTGAGTCAACCAATCAAGAGCTCAAAGCAAGAAGAAAACGACCGAATCACAACAACCACACACAGAACTATCAAATTGAATAGGCCCAACGAACCAACCAGACACAACAGATTGAAACCAACTCAGATTCACAGGCGTCCAATCAAACTACGCGAAGACCGCCTTCGGAGCTGTTTAGAAACTATACAAGCACAGGCAGGAGAAGAGGAAATCGCCCACTCACCCCCGCACTAACGATATCACCTCGATTGCTGATGAAACGCTTGCAATCCAACTGCCAAGCTCGGCGAACAGACCAACAACCAATCAGCACACCCTACCTATATTCCAGAACACCTACGTTCAGTCCAGGTGAACTTCCAATCCAACGGGATCTCTTCTAGAACCAAGTTGTAGCTGGCGCAGTTTCGTTCACCGATGACTTGGAAGGGGTAGGTAGCTGCGCATTACAGGCGGGAGCTGATAAATTGGTGCATAAATGCAGCACTGTCAGTGGGCTGTCAAGTGTAAGGGGAGTGGGAGAAGGAGCTATCATTGAAGGCAATAGCTTGGATGCACGAGCGCCACTGAGGGCGCGACTGGGGCATATCTGACAATGTCTCTAGCCATTGATGTGGCCCGTCTCGGGGTCCCCATCCAGGAAGACGGTAGTGACCAGCGCAGCTGAGTTTCCCGGTAATGGCTTTCATACTTCACTGCCAAGTCACTGTTTGACCGCCTATGGCTCTCTTCCACGCTTCACGTGGTAGTGCGAAAAGAGCCCTTCGAGGAAGTACGACGAGTACGCGGTTATTACAGCTGACAATGATGATGATAATGAGAACCAACTTAATTTACACCACACCAGTTCCAGTGTTCCAACAGTCCTGACTAGGATCCGAGAGATTTAATCGAGCACTATCCACACTGCTCCAGAAAACATATACTACTAACAAAGTGAACGCTAAGAGAACTGTATCTAAGCCTATTTAGGTGAAAGAAAAAATAGACACAACGATGGGACATCAGTGACCTGAAATGTTGAACAGTTTTGTCCCGTGATTTCGCTCGCGACCAAAACTAGCGAACCATTCCCCACCACGACGGCATATCGTTGGCGATACGGCTACCGTTTCCACATTGGTTACCGTCGTGGGACAACCAAAAAGACCAATATCGGCAGGAAACGGCGGTTTGAGGCGAGGTTTGCCCTGTAGAAGAAGAAGGCCAAACAGTGGAGACAAGTAAAGGAACGGAACGCCGAGCGATCGAGAAACAATGGTCGGCTCGTTACTAGAATGCAAGTTCGTTCCCCTGACTGTTGAGGTAACTGAACAGACGGTTGCATATACATGGAACAGACGAGGAGTGCAGCTACAATCATGGACCCCTACGGGACTGAGATGAAACAGACAATGAAACAAAGGGAAGAAGTTTTACGGGGCAGCTAGTTCGATAGTTCAGTGCAGTAGCCTCCGCTAAAATGTGTGCTTCTGAAGGGGGAGGGTCTAACTGTCATAGCTTTGGCTTACTGGAGGGATGACTTAAAAGTGTTCAACTGTTGTAATACACTCTCAGGATACTGAAACAATTACCGTTGTTCGTCTGGCTCGGTTAGCACTCAGTTCGTCCTCTGGAGAGACAAATAACAGTAACAGAAAAATAACCGTTCAGTTGTAGCACCCCGCCTGTGCCATGCCATACCATGTCATACCAGGTTTCTCAAGCTTAGGCAGGAGCAGTTGACGTGTTGGGGTTGGGTTTGGACTGCGGACCTACCGGTCAGTAAGTTCACCCCTTAACCACTCGAGCTCAGTCGAGTGAAACCGGATGACCTAACCACTCGAAGGATCATTTCCTTGGTACTGACTGATAGCCGAATGTAAGAAACCGGTTTTTTCGAACAAGACTGTTCGTAAGGAAACCCACAGACAGTTAATGTGTGCTGCTTGGCTCATTGGTTCAAACACACTCCGATAAGGCAGAATGAAAGCGATTTGAAACCTCCACACAAACCTGCGATGACCCTAGAAAAAACATTGTAGCGGGAGATCCCATAGGACATTGTTTGCTGGGGGTAATGAACGAAAAAAATCTCTCAGGTGTAACACCCCTCCGGTACCTAGCTGCCATGCTGCCCGAAGAAAGCATGAGGGCTGGCATACTGCCAGGTTGCCCAAGCCTAGACAGGGGAAGTCGAGAGGCAGAGGTCGGATTCGAACCACGGACCTTCTGTCAGTAAATTAGCACTCTAACCACTTGAGCCATCTCGCCCCTGTAAAAACGAGTGTGACACAACTGAAACGTTACCTTTTTTCAAAAAATGCCCTTCTAGCAAAGGAAACCTTCACATGTGTTCACATTACGTAAAAAAAAGTTACGAAGAATTGGCGGTAACAAATGGGATAAGGAAACATACCTGTTTTCCCTCAATCGACTCGATCAATGCCGTCTCTTCCCCGCAAATATACGCGCCAGCGCCACGGTGAACGTATACGTCGAAATCGTAGCCCGAACCACAGGCGTTTTTCCCCAAATAACCCGCGTCATAAGCCTAGGTGATGGGAAGATGGAGGGATGATTGGTGACTTAGAAGTGCTAGCTCACGCCTCGATTTGGCAATGAACTGACGACTACGGCACACGAGTTTGCAACAGCTGTGGGGGCTCATGGAAGCCAATCACACCAGCAACAAACCGTCTACTGAAAGTTCCAGCTTCCTTCAAGCGGAGAACTCGGTGAACTTACGTATGGGCAACCCGGTTTGAGCTCCCCGACGGGCGCGTCTTTATTAGTTTAGCAGTCATTGATTGGTCAGATTAGTAAAGTCACAATGGACACTTTTTACCTACACAGTTGTCAGACAACGCGTAATTAACGCGAGGACAGTCAGAAACCACGTCCTATCATCTGCACTTTCTCAGGCGCCCGTGACACTTCAACGAAATGGACTAATGGACTGTTGAGAACGGGACTGCGCCTACCTGATGAACCCCAAGAAGGGCGAAACCGGTCGTGGGCTGTCGATGGATTTTAAGCAACCTTATGAGTAGTACATTACAAAGATATACATGTATCGCGATATTTCAAATATCGTAGCGACTGAAACATGAGGCAGGTGGTGCAGCACATTCAGTTGCCTGGAAACATCACAAACAAGAGATTCAGCTGGGTTCCAGGTGAGTCTCTCGAAAGAACCAAATTAGTTTGCAGATGAGTGTATATTCGCTAATTTCGTGCAATCTGGTTTCAAGTAGAACATAAGGTTGACGGAAACCCGGGGACTGCGCCTACCTGATGAGCCCCAAGAAGAGCGAAACCGGTCGTGGGCTGTCGATGGATTTTCAGCAACCTTATGAGTAGTACATTACAAAAAACAAGCAAATTAAAATACATACCTTGGTGGGAAAAACGAAAACATCAACTCACCTCGCGGATAGCCAATTGCAAATTCGAGGCTTCGTTGTAAAATTCACCGCGAATATAAATGTAGGCTGCACACGCACCCATCGCTCGACCAGCGATAAGACAGCCTTCTACGAGGGTGTGGGGATCGTGGCGCATAATCTCACGGTCTTTACAGGTACCCGGTTCGCCCTCATCCGCATTCACAACCAGATATTTCGGTCTTTTCATATCAAAACAGAAGAAACCAAGAGTACGACAAAATTAAACTGGGTTTAAAGTAAAGTTCTATGGGGTTCACAAGCAATGAAAGGGCAAACTCACCTCCCATCGCTTGGTTTATTCATAAAACTCCACTTCATTCCAGAAGGGAAACCTGCACCACCACGTCCACGTAGGCCAGACTTCTTCACCTCTCCAATGATCCAATCTGGTCCCTTCAGTAGAATCTCTTTGGTTTTATACCAGTGTCCCTGTACAGATAGTTGAAGGGAAAATGGGCAAGAGCCCTACCCGTTGCATGGATCCTTTAAGATGCCAGTCATGGCGTCCGTACAGGTTAGTGAATATGCGGTCCTCATCAGACAGAGGGCCGTAAGTAGTCTACACTGGATGAGTGTTGTGAATGAAATCAACGATACCTTTGTCGCCGTCGGCGCTGGGTTCGTTGATAGGGAGGCGCCGCACAACTTAACGACCAGCTGCGCAGTACCTAAACACACAGAGAGATAGCACACCAGTAGAAAGAAAACATATTCAGTGCCAAAAAGACTATACACTCCGAACAGTTGAATACGCTTTAATCAGATTCAAACTAGTCGGGGGCGAGATGGCTGTGGTGAGAGCGCGACTTTACCGACTTGAAGGTCCGTGGTATAAACCTGACTTCTGTCCAGGCTTGGGCAACCTGACGGTATCCCAGCCCTCGTGCTTCCTTCGGGTAGCATGGTAGTTAGCCGCCGAAAGGGAGCTACAGTTGAACAATCTTTTAAACAAGTCTTTTACCTGTGAAGAAACAGTTGTGATCGAAATAACCACTTATGAATGCAACAACAGAGGAAACTGCCAGCTGTATACCTCAAGGATTTTATTTCTGATGTATACAACCATCAGATAGTCACTCCAGAGTTCTCCCTACAATACAGTATATCTTAAGCTGATACGTGGTGTAAGTGTTCCGTTTTCACATGATGACATCCTTAAAAACTAGCAGATAAATCGGTAAAGCGAAAATCGAGCGATCTGGCTAGCTGAGTCTCCCCAGAAATAGTAGTCGATTAGACCCAAGAGTTAAGTGATGTTGGAAATGCGGTATCGGTTAGTCACTACACGGCCAAACACGGTGAGGATAGCAATGCTCATCTGCAAAACGAAACTCCCAATGAATGTAGTAACCATAGAAGCACCAGTCTGACTCCCGTCGTAACAAGGATTCTGTTGTAACTGACTCTTGGCAGCAAGCGACATATCAGTCCACGAGCAGTAGATGGGATTTCAGCCGTACAGATGCCACGGGGATCGTTATTTCACATCCCGCTTGAAGATAGGGCAGCACCATATGCACAAATGATCCACGGACCTGGTGTTTTTTGGCTTTAAGGGTGCGTACATTTTTGTCGGTCAGTCGGACCACCCATACAAAACAGGATGGCGTGGCTTGGCTGCGGCAATCTTTTGGTGCGGTGCTGCCGCACAACTCGAATGTACGAAGGTTGAGGTACTGCTAGGTTACCATGCTTAAACAGAAGTAGTTGAAAAGTCGGTTTGAGCCATAGGCCTTCTTGTCCGTAACTTCGGGCCTTAACCGCTGAACTACCTTGACCTAGGACTGTATTGGTGGCAAGTTGATGCCAAGTGCCTGTTTATTGTTCATTACTGTGCTGGCGATGAACACACGTATTTGATGAGCCTGCAGCTTCTCTGTCAGACGTTGCCATCGTGACCAAGTGCTTACCACTTACGTGCAAACGACTACTTCCTTAGACGGTAATAGTCGGCCTCATGGGCACATACTGCCCAGGTACGGCAATCGACTATCAGCGTGTTCCCACCGGAACCACGCAATGCTCCAGAGGCACTGATGGTCAAACACAGACTCTCTGAAGATCTTTCACAAACAGCGCACACGTCTCTGATTCACACAGTAGGACAGGTCAGACCAGGGCATTGTACAGAAAGGCTGTCACGTCGGTGGTACAGATATCGGATGTTTGCAAAGGGTGCCCTGGCCTTCACAATTCGGGAAGTGGAATCGTCCTCCACCTGTCAGCCGGGACTTATGTAACTGTTCAGATAGACGAACTTACCAATTACACCGGTTGTTTCTCCTGCAAGACCGACTCTCGAATTTGATACCACACAACCTTGCAGTTACACCATACAGGTGCAAAGCGCATAGCGAACTGTGCAAGAAAATTCTTAAGGTTATTTGAAATCGTTTGCATTTAAAAAACTGCTACAACAGGAGCAATATCTTCGGCGTACTCAATGTCTCTGAGCGGAAGCCCCAGGAGCATTTCGATCCTTGAGGCAGGTAAAGAAGATTCTAGCATCACATTGGTTACGAAACCAGAGAGGAAGGTCGACAGGGGACACTCTTAGTTGATATCAGCGGATGTGCAGAACTCAGGGGAGAGCTTGCGGCAGACTTGTACGCGTCCACTATAGGAAACATATATGGCCTGTACACGTGACAGCAGGTGGCTATAGGCATTGTTATTCAAAGTGCTCCATCCATCGGCCGCGCAACTTTGATCCTTGATGGCTTCGCTCACAGAGGTTTATGGGGGCCAGTCGCACGGATCAACTGAAATAATCTTCGGACATTACCGGCTTTCCGGGCCTCTTGCATCTTCTTAACCTTCTGTGTCTACAAGGTGTATGCTCACTTTCACTTGATGTCTGATGATTCATCGGGCCAAATTATGTTCTGGACGTCTGGGAACATTCCTCGGAAATTCAAACAGTGCCACTATTCTGTCTGATACCCAGTGCTTGAGCGGGTCTTATAGCGCCGTGCAACAAGCAATCCCGGCACTGTGTAAAGGGGTGGCGAACTTGCTTCAGCACGGATTTAAATTCGACGATGGAACAGCTCGAAGACTCCAGAAGATGATTTTGATAAACCCGTCGAACCGCGGAATCTTCCAGTTGTGAGCGACTTTTATGGATTCTTACGCCGCCATGGGATATGAAGGGAGAAGCAAATCCGTACGAACGCCTGGTCCGAATGCATAAATGTGTTCCGAAACAATTGGCGATCAGACAGTGAGTCGCGACATCGGTAACTGATGGCAATGTGATCAGTTAGGGCTAGTGGCTGGCGAGCTGTTCACGAATACCATGCGAGCAAACGACTTCGGTTATTTTGAAAGTTGGGGCTGCATAAAAATAGTCTGCGGACTGCATGTAGCTGGAGCATTCCTTCGCCGTTATCAGTACGTACCGAATCCAATCCAACTGGAGCACCAAACTGAGCCTTAGGATCGCCGATACTCTCCTGTGCATTCGGATCTCCGGCAACAACGGCATATAAACTTTGAGTCCGTTGTAACAGGGCATTCTATGCGTCTTAAAACTCGTCTTTGATGGTATAAGAACTACAGTGGCTTAAAGCGTAAGAGGACACGACAACCAGACAGTGATCTACTTCCTGCTTGTAAGATTCCTTCACAGACGTTGCGCAAACCATCACACCATGGTAAGGTCCAGTCTCCTCGTGATGGGGTTGCGAGATGGCTCAGTGGTTGGAGCGCCAATTTACTGACCAGAAGGTCCGTGGTCTGAACACGACCCCTGCCTCTCGAATTCACCTGTCTAGGCTTGAGCAACCTGGCAGTATCTCAGTCTTCATGCATCCTTCTGGTGGAATGGTATTTAGGCACCGAAAGGATGTTACAGCTGAACAATTTCGATTTTCCGGCCTGGGTAACCGGAAGGTATCCATTGCCCAAACAGCTTTCTGTCCACCAATGTCTCTCCCTAATCACTCCTTATCCTAAAAACAAAGCTTGCTAGATGGCTTGATTGTCAATTACCTGAGACATATGCTTCATACACTCATCTCAATCCACGAAGTCGTTTCTACATAGGAGCTTTCAACGTTCATACCCCATGTCTGACTGGTAGTCCAAACCTTATACTCCCTTAAAATTGACGTATGCCGGGTTTCTGAAACGGAAACATGCCACCGCTTATGCCTCCATTCTAACACTTTAGAATTTCATCTCTTCTGCCCTATCGCACCACAACATGAATACTTTCTCCACAGGTTCCAGCACCAGGATTAACCGCTTTGTTCGCCAGGCGTCACGCTCAGCTGTAGCTTCTGCTCGTGCGACCTCACTAACAACCAAAAACACCTCGAGGTCCGCTTTCAAATCCTATCTGTGCATCTCTGGTGACGCGGAGGCTACTGCAACTTGGCACGCCAGTGTTAGTAGTGTGTTGAGCCATCGAGCGAGAGCATCTCTACTGGATTTGATACCCGCTGATAGTCGATTCTGCACGGCTCGTTCGGCAAAGTTTGCGAACGAATCTCGAAAAAGCAAGGCCCGTCGCTTCCTGTTTGTTGTCTGCTTACGCCCCAACCGACTGTGGCTCGGAATCTGCCAAAGGCTCCCCCATTCTTACACTTTCAAGTTTTATTTCTTCTGCCTTATCGCACCACAACATGAATACTTTCTCCACGGGTCCCAGCACCAGGATTAACCGCTTTGTTCGCTAAGCGTCACGCTCAGCTGCAGCTTCTGTTCGTGCGACTTCACTAAAAAACCAAAAACACCTCGAGGTCCGCTTTCAAATCCTCTCTGTGCACATCTGGTGACGAGGAGGCTACTGCAACTTGGCACGCCAGTGTTAGTAGTGTGTTGAGCCATCGAGCGAGAGCATCTCTACTGGATTTGATACCCGCTGATAGTCGATTCTGCACGGCTCGTTCGGCAAAGTTTGCGAACGAATCTCGAAAAAGCAAGGCCCGTCGCTTCCTGTTTGTTGTCTGCTTACGCCCCAACCGACTGTGGCTCGGAATCGGCCAGAGGCTCTTTTACAACGGGACAAACACTCAGATATCTTTGTGATTGCTAGTGGTATGAATGCACAGGTGGGTAGGCTTGAGGCTGCTTAGGCCGTCAGATGGTCGTCTTGTGTTAGACATGAGACGCACGGACAACGGAAAGTACCTGTTTTTCAAGTATTCCTGGATTTCCGAGGCGCATTCGACTCGGTTGATCGGCCTGTTCTTCTTGAGACGCTTGCCCACCAAGGAATGCCCCGGAAGTTTGTAAACATAATACGTTCTTTGTATTCTCAGACTTCCGGACGTGTGAGAGTGTACGGAGAGCTCTCCAAAAGCTTCCGTACACAAAGCGGTGTCCGTCAGGGATGCCCACTCTCTCCATTCCTTTTCAACT